AGTAACATTTCAATGTGCATTAGGTGCATTTTAAGATTTGGTGAATAAATAATTATATCATCAATATAATTATGACAGAATTTTGTCAATGAGTATTTTTCTAAGATACCTCTGATGGCTCTTTGAAAAATAGCAGGAGCATTTTTGAACCCGAATGGCATTACTAACCATTCATAGTGACCATTCTGAGTGATAAAAGCAGTTTTAGGGATGTCACTCTCTCTAACTCTAATATGCCAAAACCCAGACCGAACATCAAAGACACTGAAGTATTCATTATCATGGAGACTATCGATGATGTCTTCAATTCTTGGCATTGGATATTTGTCTGGAATCACTTTTTCATTTAATTTTCTGTAATCAATACAAAAACGAGTTTTTGCATTGTCTTCTCTTTTGAATGCTAGAGTTACAGGAAAAGCATAAGGTGAGTAAGATTTTCTAATTAAACCAGACACTAATAAAGTTTCAATTTCATTTTCAATCCTCATTTGTTGTTCAAAAGCAGGTCGATAAGGTTTACAGTTAATTGGTATTTTTGAGGTCAATTCGATTACACATTCATTGCCAGCTATCATTCCAACATTAAATTTATCATTACTGAAAACACTTTCATTTTTAACCAAAAGATTGAACAATTCACTATTATCATCATTTTGCTCCAATTTTGATCGAATATCAATAAAGAAATTATCAGTTAAGTCAATTGGTGGATCAACTAAAGAAATTTTGGACGGAATATTAGTGTCAGCTAGCTGATTAATAGCATAATCGGAACCACAACTTAGATTAAACTTGTAAATATTATCTAAACCCAATAAGAGATCAACACAATCCAACTTAGTTACATAGACAATAATAAATTCAGTGATTTTACCAATGGTCAATTCAATTTTAGCAAGACCTGACACAAAACCGTTTCCAGTTAAAGTAGAGTAAGTATTTTTATTATTATTCACTTGGATTAAATTCATATTTTCAACTAATTTGTCATTAATCAATGATATACATGAACCTGGGTCGAATAAAATTTTTATTGAACTTGAATTGAGTTTACCCTGAATAATAATATGGAAAGGTTTGGAATCAGGTCGAGCTATCAGTTTAAATTATTTTCATTAGATTGGGTGGAAGAGGACGAGGATTCAATTAAATTTACTTGTTTTGGATTGGTTTGTTCCTTTTTCAGTGGACAATCATTAGCCCAGTGCATTTGATTTGGTTTACCCTGGTTGGCACAACGGAAGCAAGCTCCTCTAGGTGGTTTCTTATTTTGATTACTGGTGTTTTGAGCGAATTTCTTCTTATCATTCATCTTTGAATTGAACCCAAAATTATTTCGTTGGTAGTTTTTATCTTGTCTTGATAATTGGTTCTCAGCCGTCTTGGCAATAGCGTAAAATTCGGAATAAGTTTTAGTACGATGACCAATGAAGCACCTTTTCAAATCATCATTAAGATGTTCAATCATTAGAGTAACAGCTTGTGATTCATTGAGATTGGAGAGTCCAGCTAATCGTCTTTTAGATTCAAAGTATTCTTCGATACCTTTAGTATGACTATACTTTAAACGATCAAATTCAACAATTGGATCAACAGATTTAACCCCAAATCTCATGATGAGTTTGTTTTTTAGTGATAGCCAATCACTATTATCCCGGCAGTCTAGATAGAAATTAAGTGCCTCTCTTTCCAGGTACTCGCCCAATAAATCAATCATTTCATCCGGTGACCATTTATACCGAGTAGCTGAAGACTCGTAGAGTTTCAACCAATTCTCGATGGTAACGGCTTTGTCAACTCCATTGAATTTTTGTAACTTAGGTCGGTAGATTTGGTAATATTGGGTTGGTGCAGGAATGAGAGGTAGTGGAGGAACATGAGGTGATGGAGGAATGACAGGAGGAGAAGGGAATTGAACCTCCTGTTGATCATGATTATTAGGTACAATACCTGAAGGATTCAATTCATTTTCATTTGCATTGGAAGTTAATGATTGAAATGAGGTGGATGACGAAGATGAAGATGAAGCAATTGACGAGTCGGTAGTCATGTTATCCTGTCGACTTATAATAGTTTGAGCAGAGATATCAGTGAATACTGGAAGAATTAACTCTCGACCTGTAATACAATGAATTTATACTCAGTTTAAGGTTTAATCAGATACAAAATGATAGTAATAATATCGAGTTAATATGGTGGAAGTGAGTTAAGCAAATCCAATGCTGTCGATGGTAATGGAAGGAGGTAAATTCAATTAAATGAATTATTGTTGATGAGTCCGGTTAAGTGGTGGTGAAGATATTGATGATGATGAGGTGAGAAAAATTCAAATGAATTCAATTGAAGTTGAGCTTGGCTGGTGAAGATGAGATAACGAACAATATCCACAATTGTTGACACAATTTGAGTTGTAAATCCAATGGATAAGATGAATGAAGAAGATAGGTGAAGAAGTGAAAGATGAACAAATTATGGAGCCAGGTAATCACTAAATTAGTGAAACATTTGATTCAACCTCAATTCGAGGATAACAATGTCCAATGGACTAAAAATCAATTTTTATTCAACTTTGCTTTTCCAGACAAAATTAACAACTAAAGAATCTTTTTCTTCCTTTTCCTTAAGAAAAGCAAACGTCCAGGAAAAAGTAATGCTACTACCATTGTTAGAAAGGGTTTAGTTTGCCCTTTCCATTCATTGTTAAACCAGAAAACGAACCAAAGTAGAAAGGGAAAAAGACAGAAAAGGGAAAGAGGAAAATAAAAGTAGTTGTTTCTCTCTCTCGTTTTACTAACTTCAATTCGCTATATTACATGTATAATAATTTCTACACTCAATTCCTCATCCTTCAGCATATAAGTCGAAGCTCCTGCTTCGTAAATTCATTCAGTTCTATGATTCAGCACCACTCAGTCTGAAAAGTAGCTACTTGAATCAATAAAGTTTACATTGTTTTACTTTAGTTTGTGTCATTTACTTCTGTAAAGTTTCAGTTTTAGAAATAAAATATGTTTTTAAATGAGTTTGTCTACAAAATGAATCCGTTTCATCACAGTTTTAAATGAAAGGAGATTTCCAGTTAATTATTATCTTAGGAATGTTGATCTTTTTCCAATTTTCAACCAACAATTTATCAACTGATAATCGCTCTCCATTTTTAACACCTAACTTCAATTGAGTTTGCTTAAACCGATAAAACTATGGCCATGTCCCATAAAAATTGTCATTTATTGTTTTAGGAAACTCAATTATCATAGTCCCACTCATTGGTTTCCTTTTGCCATTACAATTACAAAAGAGAAGAACAAGAAGAGGGGCCGTTGAAAAAATTATGTGCAGTTTCATGTAGGTAACTGTATGTTTTTCACACCTCTCCTTTGTACGCACGTATGTGACGCAGCCAACGAAAAGCACTGCAGAATGAAGCACCACACTCGTCAAACTGAATGATCTTGAGCGTACGAATTTATGGTTTTTAATTTGCTGAAGGTTCAAGTCTGAGGTCGGTAGCACCAACCGTGCGTGAGTTATACTTGAAAACAGCCTTAAAATGCAAAACGCACGGTATTTCAGAACGTTTCAATTGAAAACTTCAAACCCAGTCAAACACTACATGTACGTCAAAGGTTAAATAAAAGACATATCACTCTTGGTAGCCAACTCAAGTAAATACATGCGTTTTTCACAATTTCCGGTGAATTCCGAATTCAATTTTCGTGTTGAAGTCGTTGGTGTTTTTAACACTGAATTCACATTATGATCAATTTAAAAGTTGATTTTTTGGCACTTTATTTATACGTTTTGGTGTTGATGTTGAAGGCTTACTTCTCTCACTTGGCACAGTTACACCAACGCCACCTTCAGCTGACAAGTTTTTTGAGATGATTGAGACATTTTACAATTTACAAACTTAATGATGAGAATACTGGATTCAAACTCTCTATTTATACTAAATTTTAACTTCATGAATTGAGCAATCACTGTGAAAATGCAGAACAATTTCTAGAAAAATTGTTTTCAACAAATTAGAATGCAGAGTTTGGATTAGAGGAGTTTATTTCTCTTTACAAAATTTGATTGGCTTTTTGTATTAATTTGAATTAATCAAATAGTTTGTGCAAACTGAGGTGACATTGAATTCAGCAGCAATTTTTAATTCTGCATTCCGAGTGTTTGTAATTAATTTCAAGTTAATCAGTTATTATGCTCTCGAATTCAACGTGGAAAAGATCCTCTAGATTCTTGCGAAGTAGAGTGATCAATCAATTGCATGAAGAAGATTCAGATTCAGTATCACTCTCTGATAGTATTCTGAATCAAATGTGAATTCAAGAATGAAGCAGTTATCAGAAATATTTCTATGGGTTAGAAATCCGAAAGATCAATTCTGGATTCTCTTCAAATATTTTATAGAGATTATGTTCCAGATAAAGATTGTCGCAATTTGATTTCGATGAATTCAATCAGAATTAATAATATTTTGTTAACAATAGATGAATATGATAAAAAATTCAAAAGATGTAATTCTGTAATTTATCAAAATGGTTCTTCCTACAAAGTTCTGAATATTTTTTATGACCGTTTCGACCAATTTGTCGTTCTGAATGTTAAGTCCTTGAATCAACGAGATTCGATCATCTTGCTATCGCGGTGGGACTTTAATTGAATCAATTCTGCCTCATATTGTCTATTTTCAGAAAAACCTGAATTCTGAATACATAATTTTAAGTCAAGATTTCAAAAAATTATTCGTTTATGTCTCGCCAAATGGAAATCAAAAGTTGTTAATCAAGCCTATTATAAAGTTGAATTAAATGAGTTTTTGAATATTTCACCTTCAAATCATTTATCAGAAATTTGAATTGATTACTTTGAATCCTTTAGAAATCAATCATTGTAATTATAGTGAGAAGAGAAAAGACAATAAAAGAATCTAAATAAAACATATAAATAACAAAAAAGATTTTTAATTCAAATGAAATCAAATTATCAGAGAATACAATGAAAAAATGAGAATTCAGGACCCTGATACACAATGGTAATAACTTATTCAACTTTTTAAAAGAAATTTGAAGGATTCAGTATCTTTGGTTACATTATAAACTGAAAACTTTTATGATATGAAAATAAATAAGGAGAACAAAATGAATTCATTCCATCAGAAGTTGTTTTTCGGCTTCAATGTATGCTTCGCATTCCTTAAGCCTGTTCGAGTTTGCGTTATCTGGACAGAATTGGCAAGAATGATTTTTGTAACATTCAGATTGAATGCAGCCATTGAGAACGTGATGAAGATAACAGTAATCTTCCCTTGGTCGGAAGCATTGATTTGAATCCTTGAATTCAATTGCAACCTTAGAAGATATCAACTTTTCGGACCAATCCAATCGAGTTCTGCATAACAAACATACGACGTGACAAAATATGGTGTCATATTTATCTGGTACTTTGAAGTATCGCCGTATGTATACTTTATAATTAGTGATTTTTGCCAATCGACGCATAACTGAACAGGCATTTTCTGTAAAAACATCAGTGAATGTGAACCCGGATACAGGCTTTATTCCCATCATCTTACAATTGAACACTGTTGGGGGTTTTCCTACTAATTCCGGAGGAACTTTGAATAAAAATTGAATTCCTTTGGCAAGCTTGTATCCAAAATCAAGAGATTGACAACAGTATGTGCCTCCTGGTCGAGAGGAAAGACGAACAATTATACCTCTCTTTAATGGATATTCATCAGGAATTTCCCGTGTGTCTCTGGACAAAACTTCCGTATCAAGCTTTATGGATTATGAAATCAATGGTGTTGGTTCTGTGCTATTTTGAATGTTAGCAAGATTGTCTCGTCTCCTTTGTAGCTGACCTGGTATTACCATGAACATCCAAAATGGATCACAAAAAAAATGTTAGTTGTTTGCACTTCTTCTGATGATGGAAAATCGATCAATTCACCAGGCGGATAAATCTGAAATTAAAAGTAATGAATTTATGAAAATTCGCATCTGAATTCTTATCATTTCATGACTTACCTGTGAATTCTGAATTTGTACAGATTGACGGACATCCTGATGAAAGTTGCAACTCACTGAAGCAGCGCTTGCATCAGCATCCTATTCAGATGGAGCAAATTCGATTATGCATGAAGTTATCGAATACTAATTAACTAATTGAAAAGAATACTTACATGTAAACGCGTGACATAGGCTTCAGAGGAATTCTGTGAACAAGAGAATGGTGTCCTTTCAAGTTCACAATTCAAGATAGGAACCATCAATGCTTCATTCAGAATTCCAACTTTTTCTTTAACTCTATTCACAATTTGTCCAAACTCTTCGCAATCAATTTGTTTGTTGGCAATCAAATTCAAAAAAAGTGATTGTTTATTCATGAATTCAGCAATGTTTTGCAAAATCTCCTGCTTTGATTCACATTCGAAATAGTTGCTGTGAAGATTTTTCAATCCCTCAACCGCAGCTCGATTGCTTGAAATAGCATATTTATTATCGTCGAAAACTCTTCCCTTAGAAAATTCAATTTAGCTATTTGAATTCTATTCAGATGAATAATTCGGTCCAGATCTATTGAAATTGTTGAAAGTGAATGTTTGAATTCATCAATTTTAGATTGTTGAATTCTTATGATGGCTGCTGATCTTAAGGATGTTGTTGCACATCTATGGCAGAGATTCTTCCCATCTTCACTCCTGAATTCAACAGGTATAAGCTTACACTCGACACAAAATGATGGATGATGAATGAATAATGGTTCTGGCTTGCATTTTCAATCTTTCTTTTCCAGTATCAAACAATTTATATGTGGCAATTATCACAATAATTAATTTAACCAGAGCAACGCCATTTCGCTTTTCCTCTACAAACGACAGATAGATGACATTCCACTGAATTCAATTTTTTTGTAGATCCGAATTCCTCACAAGTTGGAATCGTTTGTGAATTCAAACAATTTTCACAGGCAATTTTGAGATGTTTTATCACAAAATAAGAACTGTTTACTGTAAGGCAGAATTCACATCGCAGTTGTGACCTCATGATGCCACTGTGACAAAAAAGAACAAAATTATGAGTAAGTATTTGAATTCAGGATTCAAGCTTAATAAGCAATTATTGTGACCGCGACGTCACGTTATAAAGCGTTTCAAGCTTTAAGCTTGAATCCTGGCTTCAAATACTTACTCATAATTTTGTTCGGAAAAAATTCTTTCCTCATCAAAAAACGCATCATGATGGCTTGAATCACCAGATATCTGAAAAATAAAGAAAACATTGTTAAAGACAGAGTGTATGCATGTGATTTCAAAAAACTTGCAATTATCTCACCCGTCAATTCATATTAATATGTTGAGAAACTGAATTTTTAATCTATCGTAACTCAAAGCACACTGAATTCAATATTGATCTTTTAGAAGTATTCAATCAAAGTACTTATTTATTAAAGAAATAAGAATTCAGAATTCAATAAACATTTGTTCTAGAAAAGGATATACAGTAAGGGTTGAGATAATGAGACTCTCTTGAAATAGCTTATTTAGAGGGCAAAAGTGGAAATAGCTTATTATACCAGCAAATTCAATGTTATTAAATTTTATTAATATCAAAATCATAATAATTTGTTACTTCCATAGTAACTTGGTCAATGTATTCATTTACTGAACAACAATTAATAGAAAGGTTATTAAGGGCACTTGAGAGATCATCATTTGTTTGAATTGATTCAGCTTCATAAGAGTAACTAAATCCAGTGTGAGACCAGCAATTGTAAATTGTTTGAGTAGTTACATCTTTCCAAGCTGAATCTACCCAATTTAAAGCATTAAATAAATTAATTTTTTTGACTTTTTCATTTAAATGACCAGGTTCAATATTAGAAATTAAAAAGTTAACAAAAAGAGTGAGATATTTTGATTTAAAGGAATGAATGATTCCTGCATCTAATGGCTGAATTTGACTTGTAGTTTGAGGAGGAAGAAATTTGGACGAAATCATATTGTACTTTTCAGTGTTCACTTTGTGTCCAGCAAAATTGTCTAGAATAAGTAATATTTTTTTTCCTTCTTCTTCTAATCTTTGATTCCAATTAGAAAGCCAATTGTCAAATGTTTTAAAGTCCATCCAAGCATTTGACTGACCACAGTAATTGACATCAATATTATCTAGCCAACCAACAAATGAACATCGAGGTTTTTTGGCTGTACCAATGACTAAAGGCTTTTCCTTATCACCAGCTCGGTTGACACAGAATAATATTGTTATCCTTTGAATAATTTGTCTCCAGAATGATCAAATTTACTTATGAAATAAGTTTTAACTGGCGTTTGTCTCCAAAACAAAGCAGTCTCATCACAGTTGTAGATAAATTCACTTCTCCAGTCAATAATAATTCTTGGTATCATTTCTGTTTTCCATTCATTCACCTTCACCATGTTTGCTCCTTTTGCCTCACCATAAATTTTTCCAAACTTCAAGTGTGTCCTCTGTCTAAATGAATCAAGCCATCCTTTACTGCAATTTAACTCATGTCTACCAATTTCAATTGCTTTGATTCTAGCATAATTTTTGATAAAACTAGCTTTCAATCCAATCCCTTTCGTTTGACACTCCAGGATGAAATCCTTGACAAGATTATCATGAACAGTATGTTTATTTTTTTCAACCCTGAAAAGAGAAGAGAAAAGAAAAAATTATTAGACAAAATTATCAGCTTGAAGGAACGAAAATAATTGTCTTACCTGGCTCTCTTGCCCATTCCATTTTCCACTGCATAAACTATATCATCTTTAGATGACAAACACCGGTAAATTGTTGCCCGACTTACATGGAACTGATGCTGAGCATCGAAATTATTTAAATCATTATTTTCTAAATTTGAAATTAACTTTAATTTTTCACGATTCAATAAATTTCTTCTTGGCATTTTGTATTTCCATTGAAGAAAAAATGTAAACAAGAAAATTGGTTACTTCTAAGGGGTCGTATACAAATTGAGTCTCATTATCTCAGCGTCTCATTATCTCAGCCTTTACTGTAATCTAAACGACCGGAAAGGCAGCAAAACGTGTCGCCCCCTACAAGAAACGCAGTTATTTTGAATTCACATTGAAGTCAAAGAGTGTGCATTCAATACTTTCTTGTGCAATTCACTAAACCAACAAAATTTAATAAAAATTGAGATTACGCGTTTTAATGTGATAAATGCCATTGATTTTAACAAAACTGCACTCTTTTTATTGCTGCAGCAAGTTGCTCGTCTAATTTGAGCTACCGTGGTCAAAAATGTTTGACTGGGAAGTGATACAGCCACCCTTCCATACTAGTTTATTCAATGGTTTCTATTAATTAGGCGTTAGATCTAATTTTACATTTCGTCGAATTTCGAATCAAAATTATTTCTATTCAATTTTTTTAATTTCCTTTTGAATACAATTTTTTCGTGAAATATCAATCAGTTTGAGAAGGGTGACTGTTGCTCTTTTTGCTCAAGTTGACACTTCATCTATACGAAAGCTTTATAAACAATTGACAATAATGCTAGAAAATTGTAAATAGAAAAAATGATTGTACTTTTTGTTTTAATCGTTGGCTTGACCAAGCGGTCTACCAAGCATTTCGCTGGCATCTTTCTTTATTCAATGGGTAAGGTCATTTCAATTTTCACAATTAAAATATTGCTTTATGATTGCAAACACTCGCATTTAACTCAAACTCATTTTCCCTCCCAGGCATCAACCAGTGACAATGCTTATTTCAGTTTGCATCAGAATCGAGCGTCTTTTAAAAGAATCAAAATTAATTCATTAAAACCTTGTCACCTTGATCATCCTCATTATTGTCCTTGCTATCTTGAACATCATCATCAATTAACAGATGTTCATCATTGGATTGAGCCTCTTCCATGTTACTTTCAAAATGAAAGCTTACTTGAGGTTGAAGTTAACAAAGGCAATTAGATGATGATTTAATTATCAAATTGATCATTAGTCAAGATTATTATCCAACTGAATCGTGTAAATGATCAAAAAGAGAGTCAAGTGTTTAATTATTTCCTATTAACTTGTAACTTTTTTTCATTGTTGAGTTTGTACATTTTTTTCATGCAGTATTGTATTACTGCACTTTGCATGTTTCGTCACTTTTTTTGGTTCCTCTTATAACAGATGAAATCAGCCTGATGAGTCTTAACCATCATAATAGTTAACCTTAATTAACACAATCTTTTTTTCACTCTTTGCATATTTCATTCACTCTCCTTTCAACTCTCATCCCTATCATCATCATCATCATTGTCTTTTTTTATACAGCATCTCATTCAGTGGACTAGCTGTTGTTTAACTAATGTTAACTTTTCGGCATTTTTTGTGTTAATACTTGTTCCCAACAATAAAGTCTAGTTAACTGCTTAATTAGATTAGACAATAGAAAGAATTGTTGAAAGGATGAAGCAAAAAAAGCTAATGAGCCACTAAGCATTTGAAATAAAAAAGGGTTACAATGTTAATCACATACTCCACATTGGTTTGGCAAGTGAAACCTCTCCTGCAGTTGGATAATTTAGTGATTTGTTTTATTTACCGTCAAAATTTAATTTCTTAATTTATGAGTTTTCTACTTAATTAACAAAGGGCAAAGTGAAATGGAGTAAAAAAAATGACATTTATCATTAATTATGAATGCAAGGAAAAAATGTGATTGCTGTTCACAAACATTCCGAGTTGCACTAATCACTTTAAACATAAACATCTTTTACCATTGATGAATTGTCACATATTTGAACTAATAGATAAAATTGCCAGTCGATTTAAATTAAAAATTTCAAAATAAAATCACAATTAAAACGAAACAAATTGAGTAAAATAAATTCACCAAAAAGCAAAGCAAATCAAAGGACAAAATAAGCTTTGAAATCACATGTAAGCCAACAGTTGATCAATAATCAAATAGATGGCAGCACCAATAAATCGAGAGTTTTTTTCATCAAAAATAATGATTAAAGCTTTTCTTGATAATTATCGTTCCTCAACAGTTAACATAATTAAAAATCGTCAAATTGTATCCAATTATAATCAACTTTGTTGATTAAAGGCAGCATCTTAGTAACTCTTTCATTATTAACCTTGTTAATTGCAAGTCAAATGAATGCAACAATTAAGCCTGAAAAGTGACAAGTAAATGATTTAAAGGACAAGATGAAGATAATGATGAAATTGCGATTCTCGAGTTAATTAGTTCATTTGGAGGGAAAATCAAGTTGAAATGAAATAAAATCATGGATGGTTAATCCTAATTATTTAAATCAATTTATGACTTGCTAATGATTTGATGAAAAGCTGCTCGAAGAAGCAAAAAGGTAAATTAAATGTCGTTAATTATTCATTGAATAGTAAAAGAGAAGCAAATTAACAATCCAAATTAATTGTAACTCTGATTATAAACAAAGTTTCACTGTTAATAGCATTTACTCAATCAAGCAAACAATCAACTGCTCAACAAAATTTGTCCCAATTAGTTTATCCAAAAGTCACTAATTAATCAATGATTAACAAATTTCCAAAAGTTAATCAAATCAAAGAGACTCGAATGTAAATCGAAGGCTCATCAAAATAATTACATTAAATTACAATTAAAAGCAATGATTGAGCAAAATGAACATTAAATTGGAAAATGAAATTTCATTAATTAACCCAAAAATGGAAAAGCAAAAAATTTTTTTCTTCTTTTAATCACTTTTTAAACAGTAATTTATTTTTTGATTGTTGACAGTTTATTTTGACAATCTCATTGCAATTATTATTAATATTATTTATATTCTCATTAACATAATTAGATATTTGATTATAAAATAAATTACATTTTTCTCTGCATTTTAAACATTGAACAAGCAAAAATGAAATGTTTTTCAATTCATTTGCATTTCTCTTGTTTTCGTGTTACCTTTGTTTTACATTTGCCAGTTTATATTTTACCTGTTATTAGCAATTAAATTGCAAACCAATCAATAGATAATTACTTTTCACACAAAAATCAAAGGTAATTACAATAGAAGAAGAAAAAATCTGTTTTTTCTTCTCATTTCAATCATTTAGATTTCAATTGCTTTTTAATTGTCTGGTAAAATTGAGGAAAATTTATTCATTAATTAAAGGGAGTATTGATGATAATATTGAACTGAATTTCAATTTTTTCATTTTCATCTCAAGTTGCAGAATCAAATTGCGTGCTAAATAGATTAACAAGAAATGTTCAGGAAATTCATTGTTTTTCAAGTTGATCATCGATTTTACAGATTTCTGAACAAACTGAATTAATTAGCAAAAATGAACTCAACATTTCTTTCAATGGAAATAATGAATTCACAAGTTCTGAGACTCTTTATGAATTCAAATGATTGCTGAGTTTATAATTACTTGAGAAATTAAATTTTGCTTCGATTTTTGATTCCATTAACTTGGTCATAATAAGAAATTTGACAAAATCGATTATTTTTGTTGCTCTAAATGAGTTCTTTCAAGAGATTTTCACTGTTCGATAAACTTCATCATTAAGCTTGCAATTTGAATAATTACTCTTGAAATTTCATGATAAAGGTTGACTGAAGGATTAAAAATTGTTCAATCAGTGAAATGTTCAGAAAAGTCGAGAGAATTGAAAGAAAGGGGAAAAGTTTTTGAAAATTTTTTCACTTGCATTGATTGCTCTATAAGAGACAAACTATTTCATTGAAATGAACAATTAAGCAAGTTGAATGATGGAATCCATTTGATTGTAAACATTGAAAAATATCAACTAATTTAATTAAATAATCAATGAATGGCGAGAGAAGAAAAAAAGAGTTGAAAAAAGAAGGGAAAATCAAATTATGATCAAATGTTGCAAAGTTAATGTTGAACATTGAATGCAAAAAAGTTTAATTCATTTAAAACAATAAATTGCTATTAATTATCATTACCACTTTTTTCCCTTCTCTACTCATCAGTCTAACAGTGAGATGAAAAAAAGTGCTCAACCAAATTAGTTTTCATTGTAAATAAACTAATAACGGTAATAATAATTACAAGAATGGATGAGGATGGAGAGGTGATGGGAGCTCAACAAAGGGCTTCAAAGTGTTGCCCCTGAAATTAATGGAAACGGTAATTTAGGTATGAAACATATTTAAGATGAAACAATCAAATTAATTAGCATCATTCTTTATACTGTTAATATGAAGGAAAAAAATTCTGGTAATGATTTTTTGCCCCGTTTGCTCAACTGTTTCTCCAGTTAAATTATCAAATTGATGATCATCTAAAGTAATATAAGAAATGTGAATTAGTTGAAGAAATGATGATAATGATGATGATGATGATGATGATGATTGGATGCTATGCAGCTAAATGATTATGAGCTTCAATCAATTTGGTTGATGAAGCAAAGCCATTTAAAAGAAATATAAAATTAAGGAAAGAGAGAAGAGAAGATGAAAATGAAGGTGGAAATGAAGATGAAGATGAGATCCAAGGGATTGTTTCATTGCTCTTATCAATAGTTCAACTTTAATCAGCTGTAATGAAATTAAATGTATGCATTTTTAAAAGAGAGAAATGAAGAGAATGAAAAAATAATGGAAATTGAAGAAAAGGAAGAAAAAATTGCAACTTTCAATGTCAGGTTTGATGAAAGGCTAATCTACATATTTCATGTATAAAGCGGATCAACTGTTTAATCGAGTCGAAATTGAAAGACGATCGAAGGCTTTTAAAAGTTGACATTCTAATGATGGAAATGAACTGACTGAGAATTGAAAAATAGCCAAATTTTTTCGCAATTCAGGCTCTGAGACTGTTTCTGAACAAAATCCATATTTCGGTATTGGGTGAAGGCAAAAACTTTTCGGATTGTCCGTGTTGATCATGAAAATTGTTATTTATTAATTAGGAAATTTTTCTTGATTCAGTTTGGTCAACAGTTGGGATTTAATGCGTTAAGGCACAAAAATGAAGTTT